TTTTTTCTCTAATTTTGTGAAATTTTTGGACTGTTTTTAGGTATTTTCTATAATCATTTGGTGTTTGCTAAGGAGGTTTAAATAGGAGTTACGTTAAGGATAATTCTAAAGAATGGTTTTAGCTATCCTAAAAATATTTGTACTTATCTTACGATAAATTTGGGTCAAACACATGCTTATCACAAGGTGAAAAAAACCGCTACAACAGCTTCCAAAAAATTCGAAGGCGTTTTGGAATTTTTGCAAGGACCTTTATGGAATTTGTGCTAAATAATTTTATTAAGATAATAATTTCCAAACCGTAACTTGAATTCAAATGAAACTTAAACTGTCCGAAATCTTTTGATCTCCTCTTTAATTTAAAATCAAATTTGACCCAATTTGGATAAAATTTAAGCGGTCTAAAAAGATAGTACTTTTGGGTGTCGATTCTAGGTCTCAGGGTATCGGATCAATAGCCGGTTAGGGTCATGGCTATTTGGGGTAATGGATAAGCTTGAAGTTTAGGTTTTAAGTCCAAAAAGTTAGCTAGGGTCTACTAGGCCGTTGTGGTCCATAGCATTTACTCTTTTTTTTTTTTTTTGAAACTGTAGGAGGTGCATAAAAAGAATGAACTACCCACCGACCGAGCGTTCATGTATCAAAAACCCCTTAAGGGGGTCCAAAAAGCGCCATACACGCTCAAGTATGTAAAGTAAAACAACTGTGTTGATTAGAGCTCAAAAAGATGCTCAAAGGTCTCATGCGAGTTCTACTGTGAGGAGCCTTCCCTAGCGAGGGCATCTGCCGCAGCATTGACCTCTCTCCAAGTATGCCTATAAGTTCCAATCTCTATGAGCAAAGGGAATATCTAGCTATGATATTCTTCGAGTCCCCCTCAACTATCAGAGTTGCACCTCATGAGGGGTTAAAGCAACTGAGTCCCACTAGAAAGGCTAAGGCTTCGGCTACCATGGATTCTTAAATCCTGCAAAGTGAAAGAAAGAAGAGTAGTGCCCTCGGAATCTCTGAACCTGCAAGGCCCAAGTCAAAGTTAAGTTTGACTTGGCCTGTTTCGAGGGTCTCCATAGAGAGGAACAAGATATACAAACTGTTATGAAGGAGAGTAAGTTCCTCCAATTGAGTTGGAAGTCCGAGACTGGGCAATGCTTGAAGACTGTGGTTCTTATCCTAGAATATAACGAGAGATTTGACTTTATCAAATAGTGTTAGTCTGGTGCAACTTCTCCCCTCAAAATGTGCAATTGTTGTGCTCGAACCAGATCACCCAAAGCGTAGCCTCAACCGCTGCGCACCAAAGGAACCTCTCCTGTCTGGTCCATGGAGGAGAGAGGAAAGCCTCCACCAGTTGAGGAATGGATGGAGTCACCTAGGACCAGCCAAAGAGTTGAAGTAGGTACCCCCACAAAGAGCTGGCAATAGAAAGTTCAGTCTTGACACCAATGTATCACTACACCCCTATCCCCACAGGTGTTCCATCACACACGAAAATGCTATGAACTCAATCATTATTCATTAACCAACGAATAATCATCTTAATACAGGCATTCAGAAAACGTTTTGAACCACATTCCTCTTAGCACCCACCTTTCATCTCTATTGTCCACTACCATAAAGGCTCTGGTAAATCAATTTTCAACACGTCAGCACCAAAAATGTCACCAATTCACAATATAAACTCCCATACCCTTTTACAAACATAAGCCCAACAACGAACAAATAAAGACGCATATTTGATCGTTTCCCATATTCCTGAAAAGGAAACCTTCACCCACCCCAAAGAGGACCTCTTTCAAGTTTCAAGTTACTGTCTATTATAAACACTCCTTACCCCTCCAAAACACACAGACACAACAGCCAGCAGCCGTGCAACTTAAAACTCAAAATGGTGAAAAACAAGCCAGGGTCAATATTCACTCTGGACAGTAGAGCCAGCTGGTTCATCTGCTCCTTGGTGAACCAGCCAATAACCTTCGGATCATTTTTGGCCTTATTCAGCCTTTTTATTTTCAGCTAAGTTCTTGACATTTTCCTGGGGGAATCTCTGCTTATAGCCCGCTATCCAATGGATGGGCTTGTTTCTAATATGTGCAAGTCAAACCTGACTTTATTCATTGTCTTAGTTCCTATTTTTGCTAGTTTCAAATTTGTCTTGTAATTTCTCTTTTCTGCTAGTTTCAAATTTGTCTTGTAATTTCTCTTTTCTACTTTTCTTTAATTTTCTAAATCTCTTTTTTAATAAAAGCAGAAACACAGTCAAACACATTTTGACAGATAGTCTAATCACAAAAGACCGGATGGAACACTTCCGCCTTGAAGATCAACAGTCAGCACAAACAAGCAAACCTAAGTAGGAAACGTGGACAATGCCAACTTCAACACCCGCCATGGGGCACCTCCTGAATCCTGCTTCAACCCCCATAAATCTAGTTTTCTTGAGCAGTGTTACCAATATATAAAGCATCAACCTATCTGCATATATCTTCCAACTTTTAAAGACATTACATGTGCTTTCCTTGCCATAATACTACACTATTGAATATAACTTCCATGTGATGCTCAGTTACAACTGTATTGTATTGTAAAATAAGAATAAGATGCACAGATTACATGGGGCTGTTTCCAATACAAAAGGACCAAAACTTTGTTGTCTATACAAACAGAAAGCTAAAAGCGGGATGGTGATGTCCAAAAGAGTCGAATTTGTAACAAAAGTTGGGCAGAAGCACCTGCTTTTCCTAGAGCATTCACAGAAGCATTCGCCTCTCTCCAAGCCTCTTTGAATACCTACCTGAACAGATGTAGTGGTCCCAAATATTTGATAGAAAATGAAGTCCAAACTCTAGGGCCGAGGGGAGACTTTATTTGCCCAAGAGATGACATTCCTTGGGTTCCCTTCCACAATACGAGATTGGTCCCACCTATTGTCAAACAATTTCAGGTCCCTTCCAGTTTGCCTCTGTGAAAGTGGAGTTAACGACGACAATAGGGACAGAAAATGACCAAATGGTCAGGGCCAATCTAGTGAGGCTGTTTCTAATACCAAATGACCCAGAACTTCTTGTCTATACAAGCAGAAAGCTATAAAATAAGAATAAGATGCACAGATTACACGAGTGTATGTCCAATACAAAAGAACCAAAACTTCATGTCCACACAAGCAGAAAGTTAAAAGCAGTACAGTGAGGTCAAACAAGGGTGGGATTTGTAACAAAACTTGCCCAGTAGCACCTACTTTTGCTATAGAATCCGCAGCAGCATTTGCCTCTCTTCAAGCGTCTTTGGGTACAACCAGAACAGATCTATTGACCTCAAAAAGTTGATCAAAAAGGAAGTCCAAACCTCCAAGGCAGAGGGGAGACTATTTGCCCACGCTCCATGGATCACCATCCACAATATGAGATTGGCCCCACCAAATTGTCAAACAATTTTAGGCCTGAAAATGACAAACTGGTCAGGCAGGACCTAGCAATTTCTAAAGAGGCCTCTTATAGCTGCTGGTTCAGGATTACCAAATGAGCAGCCAACAAATTTCAGTTTGAAACCCCTGGACACCCTGGATGCCAAATGTTTGATCCAAGGATGACCATCAGTCCAGTCTCTAGAATGGATTTCCAGCCAAACATAAAGTCCCTCGATGTGAGGGCCCAAAATTCTGAGCAAATCTCTTACCCAGGAAATAAAAAAAGAAACAATCCTCCACCCCCTCTAAGCTAGTCTCTCAGCATTCAAATTTTCTAGGAATTATGCTCCAGATCATAGTCGTCAAGAAGAGGGGTATAGTGGTGAAAAATACATGACGAAGAGTTGTCTGATCGATTGAGGCATAACCCATACCCAATCCAAACCCTGGAGAGAGGAGGACTAAAGGGTATGAATAGGTTTTAGTTGTTGTATGTTCAAAACTGATGGCTTCAAATGCAATTGCCTATCCCATTTAAATGGCCACTAAAAGGCGCATGAAAAGATTCCCTAAACAAATTTTTCCTGCCCACTAATACAAGAACTTTCAAGGGCATGTCCATGAAATAATCAAACACTGACTAATTATGGGCTCGTCCCTTGACACTAAAGCTATTGTGCCCCAAAACCAGCGCAGATAGTAGAAAATTGGAAACGAATATTGTATTGTTTTATTGGATACTACATGCATAAAATCATAAAAAGAATAGGAAGTTGTAGCCAAATATAAGCATCATAGCTCCTAAATTTTTTTGAGGAATTCATAGCTCCTAAATTCTAATAAGAAATTGCTCTTAAATCTCCGATTCTAATGCTCAGTTACAAAAAGCTTGAAGTACCAGTGGTAGAGTGGACCAGGTAATTAACGCGTTTGAACTTGATATGCCACAAAAAGCATACGATTTTCAAAGTGACAAACTCATTCTATTATATGAGGCTTTATTATTTCAATCTTAATGTGAATAATTTCACAAAAAAATCAATCAGACCTATGAAAGTCAACCATCATTAGGGGCTCTACCGCATGTTGGGACCACATGGGGCTAATCTACTACTTGAAATTACGAACAACTCAGGAACTTCCTTTCTGGCTTTTTTTTTTAAGTCATTACACAGGCTGAATCAGAAAACCTCATAACAAGTTCCATATGATATGATAGGAAGGTTAACATATGATACATATGGAAAGGTTGTATACATATGATGGGCAGGTTATACGTACGATAAGTATCATTGCATACAAAGTATAAACCCCAAAAGCTCACATGGATGTACAGATAGAATTTCTCCATGCAAAAGCCATTCCATTAACTACTAAAGGCAAAGCAATTCCAATAGTAAACAGATTTAAGAAATATTTACAGAAACATCCCAATCATTTAACCTAGCTGAGAAGAGACTCACAAATGGACAGAAAAGAAAAAAAAGAGCATAGCAAAACCGATACACAGGTTCCTTATAAAATATATTGCAATGAATAAGAGAACTAGTGGAGTCCACCAACAAGACAATTTTTCACATAGTAAAAAAAATCACTCTACAAAAGAATTATGAGCAAATTCCTTAATATACAATGTACAATGGGGGACATGAGATAAAGACCATACACTTAAGACATCACTACTCTGCTTCATACAAGAGGAACAATTTGCCAAGTAAATTACAAGGCCACCAATCACTACATTCGTGAAGGGAAAAGAAACAAAGAACATTCTGCAATACATCAATTAAACTACGGATCAGTGGGAGAGCTTTGAGAGCGCAAACCACAAGAATGGAACTTCTCTCTTATGGACTCAGATTCACTACCGAACTCTTCAAATGTGTATTCCTCTTGTTTGCAGGCAGAAGGCACTTTCCCTTCACTATAGCAGGTACTGCAAAGGCTCAAACGAGCCTTTAACTCTTTGAACCTCAGCCCAATGATGGGGTATCGACAAACTGCACACACATGGTGGCCATGGCGTATTCTATCACTAGTTTCAAGCTTCAAAAGAGTCTTCATGATCCCGAAACCCCAGTCTTGATCATCAAACATCTCAAGAAACTCAGGGAAAGAAACCATTGAAGCATCGCTCTCTCCATTAACCTCCATCAAATCGCTAATCCCTGTCATGGGAAGGTAAACTGCCCTCAAGAGCTTGATATAAATATCAGCGTCAGTTTTCCTAATTTGGCCCCCTGCCTCTTCAACAGCGCGCCAAATTAGGGCATCAAAGACCGCACGCTTTCTTTTTTCAGGTGTACCTGCACATATGGGCGCAAGGATTGCACAAAACATGCCCATATCGACCCTACCAGAGCCTGAACCATCCAAAACAACCAAAATCCTCTCATTGATTGCCCTCATTGCCCCTTGAAAAGTCTCAGCCTTTAGGGAATGGAGCAATTTACGAATAAACCCCTCCAATGCTGCCTTCCTAATTGATTTCTCAGGTGCCCCACTTCCTGAATACGAAACAGGTACCTGGCTCTCACCCAATTCCTTCTTTAGAAGCTCTACATTACAACTCCCCAGTCTTGTAAGCCTCTGAAAAGACCTGATTTGGAGAGCATGACCAAGCTCTTGTCTTGGGGTGGCCTTGTTCTTGTTTGCTTTGAACTTAGAGGCCTCCACTACAATAAAACCTGCCTCTCCATTTGAGCTCTGCTTCTTTGCTGCCTCTCTCTGCAATTGCTTGAGATGCCCAATCGCATCATACAATTCAATCCTATGGGTCATCTTGAAAGCCTCTTTCAAGGCCTTTCGAGCCTCATCAGCCTCTCCAGCCCCCAAAAGAGACACGGCTCGATTGAGCTGAGCTCTCCAATGGCTTGGCCACACCGATAAAACCCTGCTGTACATTTCTGAGGCCCTCTGGTATCTACCCACATCACGAAAGAGACCAGCAAGGTTGTACAAAGCATCTATATGATCAGGTTTCAGGTCAATTGCCTTCTGAAATTCCTGAATTGCCCTCTCATCTTCCCCCATAGCATGGAGAGCAGAGCCTAGATCACAGTGGGCATCCGCATAATCTGGCTTCAAGAACACAGACTCTTCTAGGGCTTTCTCTGCAGCTCTATACTCTCCCACCCCAAAAAGAGCACTACCCAGAAGCTTCAAAGCCCTGTAATGGTTTGGAGACAAAATTGCAGCTTCTCTGTAATGCTCACAAGCACTGAGAAGCATTCCTTCTCCCTCTAATGCAACCCCCAAATTGACATGAATTTGAGGGAGAAGATAGGCCCACTGGTTTCCACTAGCTTCCGCTGCTTCAAGAGCCAAAACAAACTCATTTTTTGATTCAGAGAACTTACCAATGGCGTACAAGCAATTCCCTGCTCTAAAATGAGGCCTAACATCAATGGGTTGTAACTCTGCAGCTCTCTTGAAACTTACCAGAGCTTCCTTGAACAATTGGTGATCATACAAAACCCTACCTATCGCCATGTGACCATCAAAAGCTTCTTCTCTAGTTTTTGAACCATCAGCTCTGCTCCTTAAACCTGCTAAATCCTTCAAGAAAACGCCATAGTCATGGCCACTCTCTTCCCAAAAGACTCTCTTTGAAGCTCCACTCTCTGACTCAGAGCCAAGCTCTCGAGACCAACCAGGATCTGAGAAGCCATCACCAAAAGTTTCGCCCTTTATCTTCCCATCCTTCATCTGCTTCACCTTCAACCTCTTCACTATAATTCCTAGGTCATCAACCAGTTTCCATGTCACGTCATACATGATTCCATGGCTTGGAGACGCAGCCCAAGCAGCCACTGCATGCTGCCTGTTAGGGTTAGGATTAGGGTTTGTCCTCTCGTCTGCAATTGACGACGAAGAGGCCACTGAAACCGCAGATGGCTCTGAATCAAACCCTAAACCTAACGCATCAAAATCCCTATCAACATCACCCGCACCATCATCGTAGGTTCGAAGAAGACCCTCAAACGTTAATCCCCTATCCCCTTCAATGAATTCACCATAGGTTCTAAAAACTTCATCCAAAATGGCGTTGATCTGTTCATCGCTGAACTTGACTCTAGGGTTTACCGCAGTAACCAGAGAGGCCATTTCTTCTCGATTGAGGCCTCCATCTTTGTTCGCATCAAATTGGAGGAAGATTTTCTTCACTTTCTGGCTTCTGGTGTTGGTGATGGGCGTACCAGAAGCCATGGCCAAGCCCTACAGTTTCGGAAGAGGGCAAAGGTTAGGGTTTGGAGCTGAAGGGTGCAAAATACAACACAAATATGGTTCTGTTTGTTCCTATACAGCTGGGCCAATTATTCAGATCTGTTACGACTTGAGTGAGAAAATCGGTATCCTCAAATTCTAGAGAGAGAGAGTTTTTTTTTTGGGATCGAGAGAAAAATGACGAGAGAAGGTGTGAGTGAAAAAGAAGAGAGGGTAAAATCTTGGAAAATTGGAGATAATGCAATTCCGATTGGAGAGAATATAATTCTGAATTTTCTAGTACGTTGTGATACACCCAAGATTTTTTCGCTATAACTTATAAATAATACATCCAAGATTTTCCGTAATAACTTGTAAATAATTGTGACCATTTTGTATTAAATGTAAATAGTCTTATTATATATAATCTCTTACGTTTAAATTTTAAAAAAAAGTTATGTAAGGTTGCTATCTTATACTAATGAAACAAAGCACACCGTAAAAATCTTATAGTAGAGAGTGTCTCGCAAGCATGAAGAAAAAACAAGAATTTCAAATCCAAAAAATAGTGTATCTTGTAATAAGTTATTTGGACCGTCTATTTTCAAGGTTTTTAAATGTTAATTGATCTCGATCTATACTATTTTTAATAATTTTATATTTTAAATAACTGGAAGTAAAACAAGATTTTGAAACCACCATAAGATTTTAAATACCAAAACACCATCTCTAAGTAAATTTTATAAGCGTGTGGTCCGTATAAAGAGGCAACCCTATACAAACCTCACCCTTAAATTTTAGGGAGTAGAGAGAGAAGGATCTAAAAACTTGAGAAAATTGAAACGGCTGAGAGAAGGAAGCGCTAGAGAGAGAAAGGAGAGGCGAAGATTTCAAAATTTGGGAGATAGTGCCTAGGTTAAATTCTTAAGGCACATTTTGTGTGTGAAATGTTTTCATGAAAGTATT